CGGCCTCGAAGTCGTTGTCTGCAATCACAACGGCAACCCCGTCGCCCAGGGCCCCGGTGCCCTAGGGGTCGCCCACCTCGCAGACGGCCGTGTGGCCCGTCTCTGGGCGCCCAGGCTCCAGCCCCGCGCCGAGTTCTACAACTCCGCCGCGAGGAAAGGTCAACTCCCTGACGTGGCCACCCCCTCCAACGTCGATCAGCATGGCGCCCGCGAGAGGGGGCTGCGATCCCTGGGGCGATGTGGGCGCGGCGCCTCGCGCTTAGGCGCAGGCTGCCAGCGTCCCGATGCCTTGCGCGGGCGTAGATGCCGCCAGCGCCCCGACGCCCTGCGCGGACGCCGAGTGGGTCACCCTGCGAGCACAGTGACTCCTCGCCGCTGCTGCTGCGTGGCCTTCGCGTGGCCGACGCGTGCAGCCGCCCGTCCACCGCTTCCGTCGCCCCGCCCCTCGCGCCCCCGCAAGGGCGAGCGGGCGGCTGCTGCCGCCGAGTTGCCTCCACCACCCCGACTCAGCGCCCCGGCGTCGTCGCGGGCAGTGCGCGGCCCGCGCTGACCGACGTCGCCGCGGCTGGCATCGAGTCCAGCGCGACCCTCGGCGCCGGCGCCGCGCCGGGAGACGGGCCCATGACGGCCGCGTCGCGCCCGGCCTCCAGTGCCCGCGACGCAGGCCCCGTTGCGACTGACGATGCCGACGCCGTCGTCGCGGCCGGCGCCCCCCTTTCCCCGCTGACGGTGCGCTGCCGGGCGCCGTGCCCCTGGCTGTTGACGGGGGCGAGCTCTGCTCGGCCTTGTGCTGCTGCGCGCGCCCCGGGTGGCGCGCGGCCTGCGCTGGGCGCTGCTGCCGCTATTGACGCCGAGGACAGCGCGACCCCTGGCTCCTCATCCGTCGCTCCCCAGGTGACGGGCCAATGGCAGCCGCGACGCGCGAGCCCAGCTCGCCCCCGCGCGCGTCCCATGGCCCCCCGCTCGGGCCCCAGCTGCCACGCGACCCAGCGGGCCCCGTTGCGACGGGCGCTGCCGACGCCGGCGCAGGGGAGTTCCGCTTGGCCCTGTGCGCTGTGCGGTGGGCAGGACGTTGGCGACCTGGGGCCTGCCGCGCGTGCTGCTGCCAGCCTGCCGTGCGCGTCTCAGAAGCCGCGCGCCCCCGCCGCTCTCGTCCCGAGTGACGCCGCGGCCGCGGTGGCCGACGCGGCCTCGACGGGCGCCGCGCCGCTGGCTTCCCAGTGCGCGCCTCGGCCCCCGTGCGCCCCCGCCGCCTTTGGCAGGAGTGGCGCCGCGGCCGCGGGCGGTGGCTTGCGCGGCTCCGCGAGACGGCGGTCTCTGGCACCGCGCCCTGACCGGCTTGTGCCTGGACCGCGTCCGCCGACCCCCTCCCGCGCAAAGGGGGTCGTGCTCCCAGGGGCATCGGTCTCGACGACCTCATGCCAGCCGACGACTCCAGCGACGTCGCCGACGAGGCCTGCGCCCGCGTCATGGCTGGGGCCGCCGCCGCTGACCTCTAGACAGCCGTCCTGAACCGCCTGGGCCTGGACCTGGATGCCCCCCTCTCCTTCGGTGCCGGCCCTCCTGTCCAGCACCTGATGACACCTCGCGGCGGGGGAGTGGCCGGCCTCCAGCGCGCGCCTTTCCCGCCAGGGCCTCGCTGCGCGCAGTCGCCTGGCGGGCTTGCCCAGCGCCCAACCAGCGACGAAGCCCCGACTGCCGCCGCCAGCGACGTGGCGCCTCTGGCCCCGGCGCGCGCCCGCGACGCCGCCGGGGCCCCAGCCCCCCTGCCCACGCGAATAGCGAACGGGCGCCGCCTCTGCCGCAGGGGCCCGACGACCGTCGGCGCCAGCCGCGCCCTTCGCGAGCGCCGAGGCTCAATTCTCGCGAGCTCCGTGAGCCAGCCCTCGCGCTCCCCGCCGTCGCGGAGGCCTACCGCGTCGCTCTTCGCATTGACGATGCGGCTGCTCCTGCGGCCCTTCGCTCAGTGCGCCGCGCCGCTCTGGCAGCAGGGCGACCCTGGGCCTGGGGGGCTCTGCCCCGCCGTGCCCGCTGCGAGCGGCCGTGATCGGGTCGCGTCCGACGACTTCGGCTGCGCCTGCGGAGGCCCCGCTCAGCGCCCCACCCGCGGCGCGTCGGAGACGGCCCAGCCTCCTTGGCGACAGCGCTCTGCAGGCGAGCCTTGGCCTGGCGACGGGTGTCAGCGGCGGTGCAGAGGTGGGCAGCGCGATTCTTAGCTGCCGTTCGGATTATGGCACCACGTGCCACAATCGCCAATCCGACGGGGGCCGCCTCGGTGCCGGCGAGAGCTCCGCTGACGCTGGCTCACGGATTAGTTCCCCGCGCGCCGCCGATTAGGCAATGGCAGCCGTTCGATCACTTTTGCATGTCAGCGCCAGGGCTGCCGAGGTGCAGCCTCCAACGCGCCTGTTCGCTCCCTCGCCAGCTCGGGCGCGCGCGCGGCGCTGTCGACGGCCGACGCCGCCCCCCTCCGCGGGCGGCCCCGGCCCAGGGGCCCGAGGATGACCGCGACCCCGTCCGCCTTGGCGGGACTGCGGACCTCCGTTCGGATCGCCATCGCCTCGCATCCAGTGGCCCGAGCAGAGAGGGGCCACGTCGCGCGACTCCTCGCGGCGGGGGCGGCCTGCCTCAGGCGCGGTCCTGTTCCGCAAGCCCCCCATCCCGCGAAGAGGCCGCCCGGGCGCCCCGCCCCTCCGCGACTGCTGCGCGCGGCCGGGGGCGTGCCGCGCTCGATGGCCCCAGCGGTGCCCGTGGATGCCCCGCCAGCGCCCGCGCGGTCTACCCATCGGCGCTCCGCCCGCGGCGTGTCGGATGCGGCTCAGTATTTTCCTGACCACGGTGCCCTGCCGATGGTCCCCAGCATAGCGAAAGTCAGCAGTCGCCTCTACTCTCCTCTTCTCTCCTCGCCTCTCCTCTCCTCTTCTCTCCTCCCCTCTCCTCTCCTCTCCTCTCCTCTTTCCTCTCCTTTCCTCTCCTCCCCTCTCCTCTCCTTTCCTCTCCTCTCCTTTCTTCTCCTCTCTCCTGGCCTCACCTCTCCTTTCCTTTCATATCCCTTCCTCTTGTCTCCTCTCCTCTCTTCTCCTCTCCTCTCCTCTCCTCTCCTCTCCTCTCCTCTCCTCTCCTCCCTCTCCTCTCCTCTCCTCTCCTCTCTCTCCTCTCTTTTCTCTCCTCTCTTCTCCTCTCAGTTCCCCTCCTGTCCTCTCCTTGCCTTTCCTCTCCTCTTCTCTCCTCTCCCTTCCTCTCCTCTCCACTCCTCTCCTTTCCTCTTCTCTCCACTCCTCTCTTCTCACTCCTCTCTCCTCTATCATCTCTCCTCTCTCTTCTCCCCTGCCGCCTCTCTCCTCTTCCTTCCTCTCCTTTCTCCTCTCTCCTCTCCCCTCTCTCTTTCCCTTTTTGTTTCTCCTCTTCTCTCCTCTCCTCCCCTCTCTTCTCTTCTCCTCTCCTCCCCTCTGCTCTGCTCTCCTCTCCTCTCCTCTTCTCTCCTCTTCTCTCCTTTCCTCTCTTCTCCCGTCCTCTCCTGTCCTCTCTTCTTTCCTCTCTCGTCTCTCCTCATCCTCCTCTCTGCTCTCTCCCCACCTCACCTGTGCTCTCTCTTCTCCTCTCCTGTCCTCTCCTCTGCTCTCCTCTCTTCTCCTCCCCTCTCGTGTCCTTTCCTCTCCTCTCCTCTTTCCTCTCCTTTCCTCTCTTCTCTCTTCTCTCCTCACCTCACCTCTCTTCTCCTCTCCTCTCCTCTCATGTCTTCTCCTTTTAGCTCCTTTCATCTCCTAGCCTATCCTTTTCTATCCTTTCATCTCTCCTCTTTTCTCTCTCCTCTCTCTTCTCCTCTCCTCTGTCTTCTCCTTTCTCCTCTCCTCTCTCCTCTCCTCTCCACCCCTGTCCTCTCCTCTCCTTTCCTCTTCTCTGTCCCGTCCTCTCCTCTCCTCTGCTCTCCCCTCCTCTCCTCTCCTCTCCTTTCCTCTCCGCTTTTTTCGCGTCCTCTCCTCTCCTCTCTTCTCTCCTTTCTCCCCTCTCCTTTCCTTTCTCCTTTCTCCTCTCTTCTCTTGTCTTCTCTCCTCTCCTCTCCTCTGCTCTCCTCTCCTTTCCTCTCTCCTTTCTTCTTCTCTCATCTCCTGTCCTTTTCTTTCCTCTCCTCTCCTGCCCTCTCCTTCCCTCTTCTCTCCTCTCGTTTCCTCTCCTCTCCACTCCTCTCCTTTCCTCTCCTCTCCTCTCCTCTCCTCTCCTCTCCTCTCTCTCCTCTCCTCCTGTATCTTCTCTTCTCTTCTCTTCTCTTCTCTTCTCTTCTCTTCTCTCTTCTCTTCTCTTCTCTTCTCTTCTCTTCTCTCTCTTCTTCTTCTCTTCTCTTCTCTTCTCTCTTCTCTTCTCTTCTCTTCTCTTCTCTCTCTTTCTCTTCTCTCTTCTTCTCTTCTCTTCTCTTCTCTTCTCTTCTCTTCTCTTCTCTTCTCTTCTCTTCTCTTTCTTTCTTCTCTTCTCTTCTCTTCTCTTCTCTTCTCTTCTCTTCTCTTCTCTCTTCTCTTCTCTCTCTTCTCTTCTCTTCTCTTCTCTTCTCTTCTCTTCTCTGCTCTTCTCTTCTCTGCTCCTCTCTCTCTCTCTCCTCTCGTTTCCTCTCCTCTCCACTCCTCTCCTCTCCTCTCTCTCTCCTCTCCTCTCCTCTGCCTCTCCTCTCCCTCTTCTCCTCTCCTTCCCTCTCCTCTCCTCTCCTCTCGTTTCCTCTCCTCTCCACTCCTTTCCTCTCCTCTCCGCTCCTCTCCTCTCCTCTCCTCTCCTCTCCTCTCCTCTCCTCTCCTCTCCTTTCCTCTCTCCCTTCTTTTCCTCTGTCCTCTCATGTCCTCGACTCTTCGTCCCTTCTCGTCTCCCTTACCTCGTTCCTCCCTCTGGGGTGGCTGGTGGCGGGAAGTTGCTTTCTGCGCCACCCAGCCTCCTCCCAGAGTCTCCCAGCACGCCGAACTCGGCCATGCCGCTTTTCGGCCGCGACGCCCCCCCGTCCTGTTCTCCAGCGGCAGGACGTCAACCCGAGGGACATGGAGGCTCTTGAGCGTCAGGCTCAGTCCGACCTCAAATGGAGGGCCAAGATGGAGGCTCGCCCGCCTTGCCTTGGGGGGGGGCAGGGGGCTGCCGTCGTCGTCGTCGTCGTCGTCGTCGTCGTCGTCGTCGTCGTCGTCGTCGTCGTCGTCGTCTGCGGTGGCGGCGTCGTCGGCGGTGTGCTCGTCGTTGCCGTCGCCACCGTCGAAGCAGAGCGCGGCCTTGGGGTGTCGGGGTCCCTCGAATCCCTTCGGATCCCAGCGGCGGTCGAGGGTCGACTATCGAAGATGGAACAGCGAGGTTTCGGGATGATTCTGGGCAGGAGGGGGCCGGCAGCAGAGACAGGGGTGGCAGGATGGCAGATGAGTGACAGGGGGGCAGGAGGGGACATGAGTGGGCAGGAGGGGCCCGCAGAGGACAGAAGGGGACATGGGGGGGGAGCTTGGCGGGTGTGTCATCTGGCGCTGGACCGCAGTCACAGGGGGACTCCTCCTCCCATCCTTGCATCCCCCGCCTTCGCTGTTCTCGCCCTCCGTGCCCTCCTGGTCTCCACGCGTTGCGTGCGCTGTCCTCGGTCTGGCAGGGCTCCTCTCCAGCACATTCGAAGAGGTCCTTGAGGGGGCTTTGGGGGACCGCCCCCCCCTTTCTTGTCGTCGGCCTTCTCCTGCTCCTAGCTCCTCTCCGTTCCTTTTCGTTCCTCCTCTTGCCTCCTCCTCGTCCGTCCTCGTTTTTCCTTGTTTATCCTCCTCCCTATCCTCCCTCTCTTCCTTGTCCCTCCTCCTTGTCCCTCCTCCTCGTCCTTCCCCCTCTCTTTGCTTTGCTCCTCGTCCCCTCTCCTTACTCCTCTCCTTATTCTGAGTCTTTTTCCTCCTCCTCCTCCTCCTTCTCCTTCTCCTCCTCCTCCTCCTCCTCCTCCTCCTCTTCCTCCCTCAGAACGCGGCACAGCAAGGGGCAACTTTGCAGCCTTCCCCGAGCGGATAAGACTGGCGACTCTGGCGACGGGGAGCGACCCTCCGGGATGTCCAGAGGGGGGGCTCCCGGGAGCCCTCCAGCTCTCCGGCTGGCCACTCGGCGCCGGGCCCGCGCCTCCAGCCGTGGGCTTCCCCCGACCTCCCCTTCTGGACTTCCCTGGGCGTTGCTCAGACCTCTCGAGGTCATGCCCTGGACTTCCCCAGACTCCGGGGAGGAGGAGGAGGTGGACCGGTGGAAACCCAAGAGTCATCAACAATGTTGGAATTAACCTTCCCTCCAAGCTCCCTCTTTATTGGCCCCCTACAGCGGCTCATTTCCATTGAGGGAACTGCCTCGTTGGAAGACAACAGTTTGAAGATCCTGAAGCGTGCCAAATCATTGTTTTCGGGATTTCAACGCCACGTATCAACTTGACTGCTGCGTCTTGACGATCCACAATCGTGCCAGAACGCCACTTCTGGGACTCGAATAGCGAACATAACTGTTGCGCCCGCATAATCCTGAATCCTTCCAAACGCCATTTCTGGTAAGTTGATCATGGGAATCCGTGGAACGCTTGCAAATTTAACGAATGTGCGCGGCGCTAAGGCGAGAGCCACATTTAGAAAAGGAACCGCCGCCAATCCGTGAAAGGCGTGTCTTTTCTAAACGAATGTGCGCGGCGCTAAGGCGAGAGCCACATTTTGAAAACCACCCGCCCTATATCTGTGAAACTGTTGTCACTTTTTGTGGTGAGGAAGTCTCATGCGAAACGCCCGGCCCGCCCTAAGAACTTGCCTCGGGGTGCGACAGGCAGGAGTTATCTATAAGGAGAAGGAATGGAGGAGGAGGAGGAGGAGGAGGAGGAGGAACGGAGGACGAGGAGGACGAGGAGGACGAGGAGGAGAATGATGATGAAGAGGAGAACCAGAGTACAGCAAACATGCATAAGCGATACTGCAATACACCCTCCCGTCCTAAGTCCTCTCATGTGCGACTTCAAATCTTTCGTTTCAATAAAAGAAGTGCCCCCCTTACAATACCAGCGTAGTTGGCATTGCCATTTCGGTGAGGGCCCCGCTTTGAACATGCACTGCCTTGCATCTTTCTGGCGCGTCATCAGGAATGCGAAGAAGTGATTGTACACTCCCGCGTGGTGTCCAGAGAGATCCACCTTTCGAAAAAGGACCCTCCCTCCCCACCCGTGTAACTTTTGCAGAAGGCTGCCCTTGGGTCATGGACTTCGACGAAGTTTCAAGCTGCAGCTTCACGTTGAAACAGAGCCGCCATGGATCCGCGCAGCACTACGTGCGTGGAAGTATCGGGTCCCTAGGAACGAAATCTCAGGCGAAAACTGCATCCTGAAACATGGCAGTCCTGTATCCTGCGAAATGTTGCGTTAGCAAACGACTGCGCGCGGCGCTAATGCGAGAACCCTGTTTTGAAGACGACTCTTCTCGAACCCTGCTGTTGCAGGGATTGAGACTTCTGTTCGCGGCGCTATGGCGAGACCCCCACTTTGCAACGCAACCGCTCTCAATCCGTGAAGCTAATGTGAACTGTTAAGACGAATGTGTGCGGCCTTAGGCGAGGTCACCATTTCGAAATCGAGCGCGCGCCAATCCTTGCACTTGTTGCTGGCTTTTGAGACGAATGTGCGCGGTGTGAAGGCGAGAACCACATTCCGAAAACTCACCACTCTATCCGTGAAGCAGCTGCAAGCTTTCAGGACGAATGCGTGCGGTGCCAAGGCGAGACGCCCGCTTTGAAAGCCAACTGCCCTCACGCCGTGAACCTAGTGCGACCTTGTAAGCAGAAAGTGCGTGGACATCGGACGAGATCACCATTTTGAAATTGATACCCCGTCCAGCATTGTAGTTGTTGCAGCATTTTGCGACGCACGCGCGGTGATGAGGCGAACGCCATATTTTGAAAACGACCCTTGATACGTGAAGCTGGTGAAGTCCCCCCCCACATCCGAAGTTGGATTCTTGATTTCCACACCCAGCGCAGGACCCTCACCATCATCCCCTCGTTTCATCATCGCCATCATGATCACAACAACTACCACCACCACCATCGTGATCATGATCATGATGATGATGATGATGATGATGATCATCATCATCATCATCGCAAATGTCACCTTCATCATCAACATCATCAACACCACCAACGCCATCATCACCACCATCCTCATCAGTATCATCACTACCATCTTTACTATCATCGTCATTACCATCGCCACACCCACCACCGTCATCATCAACATCATCATCATAGTCATCATCATCAGCATCATCAACATCATCGACATCACCATCGTCGTCATCAGCATCACCATCACCATCACTATCACCATCATCATTATCATCATCATCTTCGTCGTCATCATAATCCGCATCATCATCATCATCATTATCATCATCATTATCATCATCATTCTCATCATCATTCTCATCATCATCATCAGCATCGTCATCATCATCGTCATCGTCGTCGTCACTACCACCACCATCATGATGTAATGCACCAGCCTCACGATTATCATCATCATCAGCATCATCATCACCATCATCATCACCATCACCATCACCATCATCATCATCATCATCATCATCATCATCATCATCATCATCATCATCATCATCATCATCATCATCATTAACATCAATATGAGCATCAGCAGCATCGTCATCTTCATCATCATCACCATCATCATTATCAGCATCATCATCATCACGAACAACAGCAGCAGCAACAACAACAACACACACACTCAGCCACTCGAGCGGGAGCCTCGTCTGTGACTGAATTGCGAGGATGTCTTGTGCCGGAGCCCCCTTCCTAATGGGCCCGCAGCTGATGTTGATAATCCGCGGCGGCCATCGGCAAACTCTTTTTTAACACAGGTTTGGTGGCATCTGCGAACCTGAATCTAGAGAAAGTCTCGAGCGGGAGCCTCGTTCGTGAGTGAGTTGCGAGGAAGTCTTTTGCATGAGCCCCCTCCCTCTGGGGCCTGCACATCATGCTGGGAATCCCTGGTGGCCATCGGCAAACCACGTAAGCCCACAGGTTTGGCGACATCTGGGAACCTGAACCCCGAGGAAGTCTCGAGCGGGAACCTCGTCTGTGAGTGAAGTGTGAGGAAGTCTCCTGCGGGAGTGCCTCCCGATGGGGCCCACAGCACTCATATTGGTAATCCGAGTCGGCGATCGGCAAATTATGTGAAAGCACGGCTTCGGTGGTACCTGGGAATCTGAATCTGGATGAAGTCTCGAGCGGGAACCTCGCCTGTGAGTGAGTTGCGAGGAAGTCTCGAGCGGAAGCCTCCTCGATATGGGGCCCGCAGCTCATGTCAGGAATCCGAGGCGGCCATCTGCAAACCATGCAGTAAACACAGGTTTGGTGCCACCTGGTAACATGAATCCAGAGGAAGTCTCGAGCTGGAGCCTCGTTTGTGAGTGACTTGCGAGGAAGTCTCAAGCGGGAGCCCCCTCCCTACGGGCCCGCCGCAGATCATGTTGGTAATCTGAGGCGCTCATCGGCAAGCCCTGCAACCACATCTGTTTGGTGACCCCTTGGAAATTTGATGTGTGGCCCGCAGCTCATGTGGGTAAGCCGAGGCGGCCATCGGAAAACCTTGCAAACTCTTGGGCTCCTGAGGCATGGAGGACGCCTCGAGCGGGCGCCTCTTCTCTGTGTGACTTGTGAGGAAGTCTCAAGCAGGAACCCTTCTCATTGGGGGGCCGCCAGATCAGGTGACTAGTCCGAGCGGGTCATCCAAACTGCTGGGGCTCCCGGGTCATGAATCCTGGGGACGTGCCGAGCGGGAGCCTCGAGCTGTGAGGACGTCCCGTGGCCGCGGTCGCCGGCGCGAGGCGGCGGCACGCCCCAGCTGGCCCGCCGTCGCAGACGGAGCTGGCGCGCAGCGCCCGGGCGCAGGGAAGCAGAAGTCGGGGGAACACGGGGGGGGAGGAGGAGGAGGAGGAGGAGGAGGAGGAGGAGGGGGAGGAGGAAGAGGAGGAGGAGGAGGAGGGGGAGGAGGAGGAGAGGGAGGAGGAGGAGCAGGAGGAGGAGGAGGAGGAGGAGGAGGAGGAGGAGGAGGAGGAGGAGGGAGAAGGTAATCAGTGAAGATGTCGAGGAAGGGCGGGACGAGTGTCAGGAGGTGAGCTGTGCGGACCTCGGAGCGCCGGCCGCTCTCCGGAGCGGCGTGCTTCTGCAGCATTTTGCCGTCCCGCGCGGACCGGGGTGCCCTGGCAGGAGCGCGCGGCACCTGCGCGTGCTCGCGCGGCCTCGCATTTCCCCAGTCGAAGCACCGCCCCCGCGTGGCAGCTCAGGGGCGGCCCAAGACGGGGTCAGCCACCGGCAGCCCCGTGCGGCATGGGCCAATTCGATCGCGCGCTTCTCGAGGGCGACTCTCCTTCGTTATTGGTGCTCGATTCGGCCGACCCGATTCTGCAATCGTTTTCATCGATCTGCGACACGGTGCGGGCGGGCGAAGGGCCGCGAGAGGCCACGAACAGTGGCCAAGCGCGCGTTTCACAAAGACTGAGCATGATTGCAAGACGGTGGTATGTCGTCTGATGGTTGATGCTTCTTGCGCTCGAGGTCTCAGTGTCCAGCTCTTCCCCATCACGCGGCTATGCCATGGTCAACGATACACCCGAAAGCATTGCTGGCAGCGTTGCCATTTGGCGTCGACCAGCGCCTGCTTCTTTTGGGTGGACCCATGCCAAAGAGGAGCGGGGAGTAGGAGGCAGGAGGGGGGAAGCAGACGCGGGGGGGAGAAGGGGAAAGTTGGCGGCTCGAAGAAACCGTTGGTGCGAGGGTGGCTGCCCCCCAGAATGGCAGGGGGCTTCGTACCATCCCTCCTAGAGACCTCATAGCACGGAGGCCTTTTTCTAGAAACCTCTGGGCCCTTGCGAGACACCGCGTGCCTTGCTAGACTGCCCCACAGTTCTTGCGCGCCGCCAAGACGGGGGAGAGGAGAGGGGGACGCTCTCGTTCTCGCAGGCCTAGAGGTTGACACCAACACCAGTATCGGCGGTGTGCCTCCACCGAGGGAAGAAGATCCCGATCTCGGTGATGATGGTAATGATTCTGGCTTCCAAGGTGGCCGAACTGTTACCACCAACACCGAAATCTAGGATCATCTTCCCCCTCTGGAGGCAGCCCCCTGTGTTGGTGTTGCTGCCCATCTCCAGGCCTCCAGCGTCTGCTCTTGTCTGGCCAGGCGGAGTTGGCATCCATCGACCGCCGCGACAAGATCTCCGGCATCCTGCAGAGGCTCCCGGGGGGCTGCCCTGAGCTCGTGCAGCAGCAGCAGCAGCAGCAGCAGCAGCAGCAGCAGCAGCAGCAGCAGGAGAAGCATCAGGGGCCACAGGGAGGAGGATAATGAGGAGGAGAAGGATCAAGAGGGAAAAAAACACGGACACAATTAATCGTCGATTCCCAGGAACATGTAGGAAAATATGGAAAGTGGGGTCGAATACAAAAACCCAGAAAATATGTGAAAATGTGAGGCATCCTGTTTTTTGTGTTTGTTTATTTGTGTGTCCCATGGCCCCTTCAAAGGAGGAGGAACAGCGTAAACCCTGGATGCGTCAACGATGTTGCAATACATCCTCCTGTCCCGAGTCCGCTCCGCGTAAGTCCCTGCACATTTTCTGCAGGCCTTGCGGCCAGTGCCGCCGGAGCCGGGGTCGGCGCCAGGGCCGGGACAGGGGCAGGGGCCGGGACGAAGTCTCACAAGGGGATTTTCTCCTTGTCCCCCAGCTGTCCACAGGTAGGATCACCTCCCGGGATCCCCGGGGCGCAGTAATCTTACCCGGGACCCCCCCTACACCCCCTGTGTCTGTGCATTCCCTAGTGATAAGCACCCTTTTTCCCCCGGGCGACCCGCAGCCAACACGGACCAATGAGCTCCCCCCTCACCATCCTCAAAACAAATCAATGCGACATGCACTTTGCCTTCACATCTGGCGCATGCGCGTGCGCCCCGCGACCACTTTGAATGGTTTTTGACAGGGACGGCGGGGGTGCTGGCATAATGCTTGCTGCGCGCAGGCCGACCATCCCTGTCAGAACACAATACAAACATACACTTTGGTTTCAAATCTGGAGCATGCGCAGGGCCCTATTTTCTCGGAGTTCTCATCTGTGTCACGACTCCCCAGGATGTCACACTATGTCCATCGGTGCTGGTGCTTTGCGCTCCCTGGAATAGCCGCCCTTCTCACAGAATGCTCGGCACTTCGTTTCAGGGGGATTTCAGATCCTGAGCTTCTTGGGGCCAGGGCCCCAGGCACCTGAGGTCCCTATTGGTTCTCCGTAGTTGGCGCACCTGGCGCGGCTGGAGCACGTGGCACAGTTGGCGCACCTGGAGCATGTGCCGCACCTGGCACGCTTGGGCCTCCAGGGGGCCCGGTGCACCTGGAACCCGTGGCGCGCATGGCATGTGTGGCGTTCCGAAGCGTTCTGCTGGCACTCGGGTGTTGCTTCTGTGCTGGGAGGGCGTGCGGGAGTGAGCTAGACGGCCTGATATCCAGGAGGGTGTCTTGACCCCACCCCCTATCCCCCCCCTACCCCCGCCTACCCCGCGTACCCCCCCGCGGCCAGGGAAGGGGAAAAGTCAGGAGTGAAAGAAGGACGTACACGTACGTGAATCCACGCTGGTTTCGAGAGTACGCATTGCCCGAAAGTTCGCATCACGCGGCCCGTCTCGCAGATCGAGGGGCCGTGTTCATGTACATAGCTGGGCGCGTACGTCCTTTGTGGGCTCCCTAAAAAGGAAAAGGAGTCGACCTAACTACGACTTTCTTTTCTCTGTTCAGTCCTCAATTCTCTTGCGACTGGCGACGACCCCGGCGGCGAAGACGGCGACAGCGTCCCACGCCCGCCGAAGGGTCGGTGGGTTCCCACTGCGGGAGCCACCCTTGAACGACGGGCGCCCTGTGGGCCTTCCACTCGGGCGAGACGACTCCGCCTTGCGTGCAGAGGATCCGCTCACCGTGCATATACAGCCGGGGCCCTGCAGAAGGAGCCCTTTTCGCTGGGGAGGGGCTCGGTGTTCCTCGATTTGTTCTACAATTTGCCTTCTGTTTTCCCGAGGTTTTCCACGGGAAGTCGAAGTTCAACTTATGGGAGAAGGGGGCCCGGTTCCTCATTTAGGGTTCCTTAGGTCAACGCCCCGACTGTAGTCAAAGAGAAATCCAAGCAGGTAGGATGTCAAAGATCAGGGAGGTTTCCAGCGGCAGTCCCGCTTTGGAAAGGACTTGCCTAACCCTCGTGCAGTTTTCGCGCAAGTTCAGAGTTATATAGTCTTAAGCTTTGCGGAAGTCTCAGGCGGCAGCTCCGTTTTGAAAAGGAGCCGCCCTCCCCTTGTAAATATTACACAACACGTAGCTGCGTAACACATGTTGAAAGGATTTTTTTGATAATGCGACGGACTCTGTCCTTGTAACAGCTGCAAATTTGCTTTAAAAGTAATGTGAGCGGAGCTGGAGCGAGAGGCCTGCTTGTAAACCACAGTCCCTCCACCCTTGGATCCAAAATGTGCGGCTGTAAGCTGAGAGCCACTTTTTGCAAACCACCAGCCGTCCACTTCGCAGATGCTGGGAACTTAACAGAGGGTCACGCGGTGCTAAGGCGAGAGCGGCAGTTTTGAAGACCACTGGCCCTCTATCAGCGTAATTGCTGGAAACGAGTAGAAAGCGGCGCAACGGCGAGAATTGCATATTGATAGCAACAGTCCCCCGTCCGTGGAACCGCTGGAAACTTCTAAAACGAACGTGTGCGGCGCTAATGGGAGAGCCGCATTTTGCAAGCCCTCGGCCCTCCATCCTGCCGTTGTTGGAATATGTAAAGCTGGGAGGACGCTGCGCTACGGCGAGATTTGCAGTTTGAAAATCACCAGCCCTCTATTTGTGTAAGAGTTAGAGACTTCTAACTAAAACGAACGTGAGCGGCGCTAATGCGATAACCGGATTTTCTTAACGCTGCTTGATGTTCTAGTTTCAGGATCGTAATTTGAGAGTAAGTCTCCGTCGAAATGCCCCACCCAGCCTACGGACATGTCTGGTGACGCGACGGGGGGGAGTTATTCAGAAGGAAGAGGGATGGAGGAGGATGAGGAGGGGGAGTTCGCTGGCCCTTCCTAGCCTGCTGCGCCTGTTACTCGCTCCGCAAAGTCGGCGTTTCTTCTATTTCACTCAGTAACGCTCCAGGCTGTCGTCCGAAGTTTGCGCAACGTAAGAAAGGGGGGGGTCACCAGAGAACGTGCTCACACATCCCACCCCGTGAGCAGGACTGCGCGGGGCGGGATGTTCAGTTGTGCGCTGGCGCTGCACGGATCGCAGACCACGCCTCGTCTACGTCCGGGAGGACTGCCGTCTTTCCGCCTCCACACCCACGCGGCCCCCTTCCGAGAGGGAAGGCGTGACACTGCACGCGCGGGCGAGGGCCTCAGGCTGTGACGCGTCGGCGGGGACACGCTCCGCTGCAGGTGGCGCCGCGAGGCCGCAGCGCGCAAGCGGGCGCATTCCGTCGCGGAGTGCGCGCCGACTTCGGCACAATTCCTCGGAGTGTGTCAGGATCCCGTAGAGACTCTCCTCAAGACCTCAAGACTCCTTAGGAGTGTTCACGAGTTCCTTCGGACACCCCCGAGGAACCCGCATGAGGTCCTCAGGAATCTGCAGGGGCGTCCTCTGGTCTGCTGCGGAAGAGGAGGAGGAGGAGGAGGAGGAGCAGGAGGACCAGCATGAGGAGGAGGAGGAGGAGGAGGAGGAGGAGGAGGAGGAGGAGGAGGAGGAGGAGGACCAGAGGAAACCTTGGATGTATCAACGATGCTTCAATGCACCCTCCAGTCCAATCTTCCCTCTTTACTCTTTCCCTTCCCCTCCTTCCAGAAGTTCCCCCTTGAAAGAAAAGCACCCTATTGGCCTGCCGTTCAAGCGAGAGCACCCTTTTGAGGAAAAAGTTCATTGCATCCTTCAGCGAGTTGTAAGGAATTCGACAAGGTAGGGTCATAGAGTTCGACGAGGTGTCGAGCAGAACCCCGTTTTGAATGGGGACCGTCCCAACTTGAAGGACATCTCACGCGAGAGCCCTACTTTGAAAAGATCGGGACCACGTCCGTGCAGCTGTAACCTGTTTTTAAGCATCAGGTCGCTCAATTCGAGGATTCCTCAAGCGAGAACGTTCTATTGGAAAGGACGTGGCCTCCGTCCGTGTAGCTCTGGCGCAATTGTACACGTGCAGCCATACTTTGGAGCAGGTCCCGGGCGAGAGCCCCACCATGAACACGAGCCGGCTTCCGGCCGTATGGCAGGTTCGCGTCGTGTCGACTGGTGGCGACCCCGCCGCGGGCGTTCAAGGTTGAACGCCGCCAGTGGCCCAGAATCGGCCTACATGAACGATCGGGCGATCGGAAAGCCGCCGATCGTTGAAGGTTGAACGATCCACACGGTGTCAGAGGCCAACGCCAGGGTCGTCACGACACGAACCTGCCGTGCGCGCAGTGGTGGCACTCGTTCTCATTCTCGCACCCGTGGCATCACGATCGCCCCCCTCTTGGAGAGGACCCGGCCTCCGTCCGTGCAGATTTGGTGCAGGCCGTCGAGTGCCAAAAGTGCGCGACGCGCAGCGAGCACCACACGCTGAAGAGGACCCGGCCTCCAGCCCGCGCAGCTGCTGCAGCCTTCCGAGAGGCGCGTGTTCGCGGCGCGAAGGCGAGAGCCCCCTTCGTGCCAGAGCGCCCCGCCTCCGTCGGGGGCAGCATGCTGCAGGCTTTTGAGGGCCAGTGCGCGCGACCGCAGGGCGCGCGCCCCATTCTTCGTGGCGCCAGCTTCGCAGAGCGGCTTTCATTCGGAAGACAGTAGGATGGGCCCAGATTATCCTGGAGAACTTCGTTCTGGGTCTCGAAGTGGGTTTCGTGCGATTGTTTTCTTGGCCAGGAATGAAGACCAGATCACACATCCACGTGACATTCACTTCGCTTTTCGCTTGCCGTTTCGGGGCTATGCCCTGGCAGAACTCCACGCAACCATCCGCTGCAGCACGTCTGCAAGGTTTGAGAAAACCTAGGGGGCCACATGCGAACCCTCCCCCTCAACCCGAGCGAAGTGAACCCCACCCTTCCCCATAGAAATCGTGCGGGGTAGGGGTTGGGTTCGCATGTGGCCCCCTAAAACCCCTTTCCAATCCGTGCAGCTTGTTGGACTCTGGAGCATCGGCTTCTGTGCACTGCACGAGAGTCTCCGGCGGAGCGCCCCTTGCCCCGGTCCGCGGGCACGTTGTGGCGGGGGGGCAGAGGAGAGCCATCTATACCGAGCGGGGTCGGCGGGGAGGGACAAGAAAGAGAGAGAGAGAGAGAGAGAGAGAAGAGGGGGAGGAAGGAGGAGCGGGAGAGGAAGGAGAGGTGGAGGGGAGGAAGAGAGGGGAGGGAGGAAGAGAGAGAAGAGAGGGAGGAGGGAGAGGTGGAGGGGGAGGAGGGGTGGGAGAGGAATGAGAGGTGGGGGGAGAGGCGAGGAGGAGGGGTGGGAGAGGAAGGGAGGGGGAGGCAAGCCAGGTGCCCTCGCGCCCTGACATTCTGCGGATCTGGGGTTGCACAAAGGACCCCATATCATGCTATGCGCAATCGGGAAAAGAGAATTGCGTACATAGGAGGAGGAGGAGGAGGAGGAGGAGGAGGAGGAGGAGGAGGAGGAGGAGGAGGAGGAGCCGAGGAGGAGGAGGAGCGAGGAGGAGGAGGAACGGGAGGAAGAGGAGGAGGAGGAAGAGGAGGAGGAGGTGGCGGATGAGCAGGAGGATGAGCAGGAGGAAACGACGGAGGAAGATGATGAGGAGGAGGATGAGAAGGAGGAGGAGGAGGTGGCGGAGGAGGAGGAGGAGGAGGAGGAGGAGGAGGAAGTGGCGGATTTTCTGAAGCTATGGGCTCGTCTGAGGCGCGTCTTTGTAGCGTTTGAACCGTTTCCTGGCATCCTCCCATCGGCTTCTTGGATATCCCTTGGCGTCTCAGGGGCCTCTTGCGCATGCCGTCTTGGGAGTTTCTCTTTTGGAGGCCAGGTTCGGGAGCCTTTCGAGGGCTTCCCAGGCTGTCTCAGGGGCATGGAATTGGACCCCTCTGTGGGGCCTTTGGACCGTTTTGTGGGCGTTATGGCAATCCGTGTGAGGCGTTTGGGATATCTTAGGAGCCTTTTGAGAAGACGAAAGGATGAGTGATTGCGGAAAGCACTATACCACTTCTGCACCGGACATGCCTGCCCCTTCTGCCCCTGATCCTTGCCCGTTCCTCCTTTTTCCCTCCTCTCCCTGCGGCTGCCACTCGCGGGCCAACTTCGATAACCTTGAAGTGCAGCCTACTACCAGGCTCGACGCAGCTCGTCACTGTGTGCCGCATATGGTCACAGAATGTCCAATCGTGTTAGTCGCGGTCTTCTCATGTGGTGATGGTTTCGCCAAGGTGGCCGCTTCGATTATTCCGTCCGGCCCAGTTCACTATTTCCTCCAACCTGCCGCGATTTTGCTACAGAATGCTTGAGGTGCTTCATGGTGCTGCGTCGCGATCGTCCCCTCAGCAGATAGCGCGGGGAAAAAGGGAGGAAGGTGGCTGCTTCGCGCACCAATGTTGTTGTTTCGGTGCCAGGCATCCGCGTCCTAGCTGTCCCACCAGCTACATCATCCTCGCCTCTTCTTCCCCTTCGCGGCCGCTCCTCCTCCCCCTCCTCCCCCTCGTCCTTCTCCTCCTCTCCCCTTCTCGCGTCTTCGCCCTCGCCATTATCATCCCCATGTCCCTCTTCTCGGAGGAGGACGAGAAGAAGGGATGGGGCGGGGACGGAGGGAGGGAGGGAGGGAGGGAAGAGGATGAGGATGAGGATGATGATGAAGAGGAGGAGGAAGAGGAGGAGGAGGAGGAGGAGGAGGACGAGGAGGAGGAGGAGGAGGAAAAGGAAGGGGGGAAGGAAGAGGAAGAGGAAGAGGAGGCCGTTGTGGAGAGGGGGATGAGAAGTTGCCCTCCATTCCGCTCTCTCATTTTTTTCTGCCTGGCTGGCTGGATGTCTCTGTCTCTATCTCTTTCACGGTGTCTCGTTCTCTGTCTCTGTCTCTGTTTCTGTCTCTTTGTCTGTCCCTGTCTCTGTCTCTGTCTCTGTCTCTGTCTCTGTCTCTGTCTCTGTCTCTGTTTCTTTCTCTGTCTCAATCATCTCCTAGCGCCGATGGTGTTATCTCGGCCAGGTTCAGCCTGTGCTGTGGCCTGCTCCTATTCGTCATCTCCCTCCTCGCCTTCCCCCCCTCTCTCTCCCCTGGCGTGCAGGGCGCGTGTGTTCGTGCGCGGCCAGCACGCGCAGCCTTCTGAACTCCCCGCGATAGCACCGGCGCAGTCTGGCCAGGACCCCAGGCACAGCTGGGCCGCTCCACCGTTTGAGCTGGCTCGGTCTCCGCGCGACGCTCCGTGCCGTGTCCTCGTGCTTCGGGCACGGCTGGGGCGCGCCCGCGAGGCGTGGCTTCTCGGCGTGCTGGCTACGTGGGACCCAGAGAGTCTGTCACTGTGTAGCCTGTTTGTCCGTCTGTCCGTCCATCTGTCTGTCCGTCCTTTGCTGGAGAGCTCGGCCTAGCGGCGGTTCGACCTGCGGGCGTTGGTCCGGGTCCGTGAGAAGCAACTGGCGGCCGCTGCTGGCGAGCACCAGTACGGCGTCGGGGACCTCTTGCTGTGGTGCTTCGAGGCACAGGCGGAGGCCCGACCCGCGGCCGTTTTCCTGAAGCTTGATTTCAAGGCGGTTTTCCAAAGAGTGAAACGCCAGCCTGCTACCGCAGCATTGGCGCGAAACGGCCTTGCAGTGACCGCCGCCCTGGCCATCTGGTACGGGGGCCCGGTGGGCCACTACTGGGGAGACGCCGACGGCGCGCTGCACAAGGTGCCAAGGATAGGGTTTTTTCGACCAGTGAGACCCGGTCTCTCCTGTTGTTTTTTCGGGGGCGCAGCGCGAGGCACTCGCTGGTTTTTGGGCGGAAGTCCAGAGGCTGGACCCTGCTCCCCGGCTCAGGCCATCCAGCGCTACGACGCCCAGCTAATGCGTTGATGGGAGACGCTGCCGAGGAGCGATGTGGGCGACGAGGCTAAGGAGCTCTCGAGCTTACCCGCGCGCCTTGGCGGCCTCGGCGGGCGGCTGGCCTGGTCACGGCAGAACGCTACCTTCCTTGCCTCCTGGTCTGCCGCGGCCAAGGAGGCAGGGGGATACCTGGGCTGCAGCTCGCTGCGCGACGCCCCGAGGCGCCTGGCTGCCGCCTCGCGCAAGGTGGGGGCGGCGAGGCAGGGCCTGGCTGGGTAGGGGCTGCTGCTGGCTGACGGCGGAGCGCTGGCTGACAGCCTGGCGCGCGAACTCAAGCAGGGCTTGGCTATGGAGGAGGCGCAGAAGACACGCCGCCCTGCGCTCCCGCAGCGTTTGTCCCTCCTCAAACAGGTCTTCTGCGAGGGCGAGGGGGGCCGGGCGCGGCGGCCTTCCGGGGCTACCCCACCGAGGCGCCCTGCGCGCTGGGGGGCGCTCTCTGGGAGACGGCGACTCGGCCCCGGCTGCGCCTCGGGAGGTCCGATTGCTCCCAGGACCAGCTCGCGGCTGCGACGGCAAACTGCTGCCTGGAGAGCGCTGGCGGCGAGGTCCTGGCGGTGCCATGTGGTTGCCTCGGCTATAAGGGCGGCGCTTGCCGGAGCGGCGGCGGGGGAGTGCGCGGGCGCGGCAGACTGGCTCGGCGGCTCGGCGGGCTGCTGCGGCGCTGGAGACACGAGCTCCCGCTCTACGAGCAGCGGGCCCCGCTCCGGGATGGGCCGCGGACGGTCCGCCCTGGGGGGGCGGAGCGCGCCGTGCTCGACCTGGAGTTCCAGGGCGACGACGGGCGTCGCTGGCTCGACCCCGCCGCGGGCGCCGAGGCGGAGCAGCAGGTCGCGGCCCGCCGCGACGGCGAGTCGAGCTGGCGTAGCGAGCGAGACAAACGCACGCGCTACCCGGGCCAGCGCCTCACCACAATCATCCTGG